GCATAATGAGGTGTCTATTATTCCGTAATTGCATCTCGAAAAGTTGCCCTATTCCATCTGTTATTCTGCCCACAAAAAGGGCATTATATCATTATTCCAACTCGACAATTTCCGTTATTCCATAATTCAAACGCGAACATTTCCATTATTCCTATTGCATGAACATAAATTTTCGAGTTGAATACATTGACGTTTATAATCCTGGTTTTTGATTACTGAATTCCTCTCCACAGATGCCAGTACCTCCCCAGTAATACATTCACTCAATAGTACAGTCACTGCAGTGAGAGGCTCCGACGTTACATTGGTTTGCCAAGGAACTAATGTGCAACGACTCGATAGCTTTTTTAAGTGGAAGTTTAACAACGAGACAGTAGAGAATAAAGAAAACAGGAATACCAAAGTAACCTGGCTTCAAGGAAAACAGGCAAAGTCTTCTCTAGCTATCTTAAATGTATCAGAGAAAGATGTCGGTGACTATCGTTGCATTGCCCACGTTAGTAACTTTCTCAAAACCGACAAAGCCGAAGCTTCAATAAAGCTGCGTTTATATGAAAGCAGTAAGTATAACTTTTTTACCTTCGCTAGATTTATAAGTAAGAGCAAATTTTGTGTAAATGTAAAGTGTATTAGTTCTTTGTTTCTGGTAGAAAAACAACCTCTTGAGACTAGACTATGTTTAAAGTGGTCGTTTGCAAGAGTTTGAAGACAGTTTTTTAAAATAAACGTTATCCAAAGAGAGGCCGATGAATGTTCAATTAAGACTTGACCGGGATCAGAAACATAAAACCGCGCATTAAAGTATCTGATACCCAAGTGGGCCCAGTTGTTCAAAGGTCGACTAGCACTTAACCCAGGGTTAAATTTAACCCGGGTTTCTTTTTCTTTGGGGTGCAAAAAGCATTTTCTCGGATAATTTTCTCTGTTATTTTCAAGAGCATTCAATCATCAACTTGTTGACAAAAAGAATTAAGCTAAAGTTACTTTTTAAGCTTTCATATCTGAATTCAAATTTTGCACTAACCCTGCGTTATCTTAACCCAGCTTTGAAAAACCCGGCCCAAGGTAATAACGTTCAAAATCCTCTTTGTTTATTTAGTGAAGTTGTCAGAGAGCTCTACCCCTCCCTAAGCTAACATTAATACTTCCTTCTCACTTAGGGCAAAATTATGGCTTAGGGGGGGGTGGGTGGGCATTTTTCAGAAACCTAACTTCTTCCTACTTTCTCACAGCACTGAACCTCACAGCATCGCCACCAAATGTCATCATTGAAGAAGGGCGCACTGCGTCACTGCAATGTGAAGTCATGTGCTCAAAAGCAATGGACGTTTGGACATTCTGGCTTTTCAAGGGCAAAATGATTGAAGCTACACCATTTCATACAGGAAACGAGCATGATTTAAGTAACACAGTCACAAACATCTCAACGTTCGTACTAAAGAATGCCATGCTATCACAGACTGGCGTATACACGTGTGGTGCTAATTCAACTGGCGTTATGAAAACACAGAATATAACCGTGACAGTGAAAGACTTGGAAGGTCCAACTCTAGTGCAAACCAAATCGAATATAGACGCTGTTGACGGCCAAAATATAACGCTAAGTTGCAATGCAGTGTACCCGGAAGCGTTTTTTTTTGTCGACACGTTTTGGATTTTTAACGGCAGCCGGATAAACAGTAACGACAAGTATAAAAAAAAACACTTCCCTTGGTTGGAACAATCAGAACAGAGCATAAAGAGAGTGAAGATTGGATTGACTATTTATAACGTTGGACTGAACGACAGCGGCGAGTATACATGTGCTCTTAACACCTCACTTGGCTTACACCTGAAAAACGTTAGTTTTAAGGTCACGCGGAAACCACGCTCCCAACCAGATTTCCATATTCAGCCACCTACTAAAATGCCTGAGACTCCCGGGGAAAGCAGATTTGCTTGGAACTACACTGTTCATTGGTCTGGGTCTCTTTGTTGGATTGGTGACGACCATAATAGTTTCTATGAAGCTATGGAGATGGCCAAAACCCAGGCCTCCAAAATCAAGTAAGTCAATGATGAAATACATCAGATGTTAGATGATGCGTTCCACTTTTATGTCCGAGTCTTTTTACTCGGGCACTGGGAGCACACTGTGTTTTGTTTTTATTTTAGCCCCTGAGCAATCAATTCTTTGTTTTTCCCTGTTAATCTCACATTTCAAAAAAGGCGTCTGATAAGGAGATATGGAGTATATGTGTAGAGAATTACTTATCGGGTACTCAAGGCCTGAGCAGAACACCATTTTATGCGGATACCCGAGCACTGTTCAGGTGAACCAAGCGTTTCGCCGTTACCAGACCTCAGCTGTCCTTTTTGCAACTCCTCTGTAGAAGAAAAACCCCTTCGGAATCAACGCTAGCTAGCGTCTTTTCTTCTTGTTCCAATACTCATCGTTTTTTTTTTCTTGCCTCCTAGTTAAATCTCCCCCAGATCTGGACGCAGGAGACTTCGAGTATGATGTATTCCTCACATATTGCAGAAAAGACTTCTCCTGGGTGGACAAGGAGCTGCTACCTCTATTTAATCATAACCAAGTGAAATATTGCGTGGATTTCATCCACTTTGAACTTGGCAAAGCGTTTCTACAAAGCATGGTGGAAGGCATCTATAAGAGCCGCAAAGTTTTAGCAGTCTGGTCGGCCAATTACGCTTCTAGTAAATATTGCAAACAAGAACTGGACTATGCCTTACAGCGGAGTTTTGAAAAAAAAGTGACACAGCAGTGATTATCATTCGCATCGATTGGACTGACCCTACACGACTTCCAAAGACTCTACGAACAAAAACATTTTTGGATTACCATGACAGTGCAGAGAGAAAAGGATGGGAGAAGAGACTCATACGACATTTAAAGCCTCCAAAGCAACCAAAGAAAATGATAGTCAGCATAGTTTGAGAGCCAATTGTCGGAGACCGTGCGCTTCATTACTTTGACATTGCAGAGAGAAATGGATGGGAGACGAGACTCATACGACATTTAAAGACTCCAAAGCAAATGATAGTTAGCATAGTTTGAGAGCCAATTGTCGGAGACCGTGCACTTCATAAGTGCCACGCCCAATATGTTCATATCGAAAAGGGCTGGGAAATTAAATGAAACTCGTCTGGGAGTGTGACATACTGGGGCACTAAATCCTTGAGGGAATAAATAAGATCCAAGCTTTGCCATTTTTAAAGATTAGTTTTATTTCTTCTCAATGTGCAATGGCAGACGGGATTCTGGAATCCGCCACTTGTCTGATCTAGCCCGCGAACCAGTGAGGAATCATTGTGGTGACTTTCACGAGTTTGTTTGTTCTTACTGCGAAGTAACTATGGCGATTTTCAAAAACTTGCACACGCAGTCTTTGTGTGTGTTTTTAGTAAATATGTAAATAAAATACAGGTAAATATGTACATAAAATACAAGTCTCATAACATATCATCCAAGTGTAAAATAACGGCAGTTTAATTCTAACATAGTGGGACAAAATAAACTTACGTATTGCACTTGCGTGGTTAATTTCTCTTACTGTTATTCCCCCATTCGTCCTCTTATACTACTGCATGAGAAGTTTCTGCGATTTGATTGGCTTAGAGCAGTGGTATTTCAGCTTAATTTGAAATACCTACATGTGAAAATTACAAACCTTTTGTGGGTAGTAGTATATACAAATAATAGCATGATCTGTACGTGATATTCGGCATAAATACTACTTGTGATGTTTCAAAATTGTATCACTCGCGTAACGGCTTGTGAAATTACGTATAACAATTTTGAAATATCACTCGTGGTATTTATGCCAAATATGACGTACAAATCATGCTATTACCTAGTATACAAATTAACTTTCTTTCCCTTAATTAGTGTCAGTAAAGTCAAACTCCGTTGATACGGACACAGAGGGGGAGTGTCCTTTCTTGACGGGGTTTCCGTATTAAGGTGACTCGACCCAGTTTTTTTGGGGGGGTACCATCCTACTTTGAAGCTCTCTGGTATCCCCACCTTTACTTTTATCGTAAGTCTAACACGTAGAATGGATAACATATAGATCAATCTACAATATAACATAAATTTTTTGGCGATCGGAGTAAATGTCACGTTGTTATAACAGGCCACGCCCCTTTGAGGTCTGAGTCGAAAATCTGCTGTTGCCGGCATTTTTTCGTGAAAATCTCTCTGCTACACATAGTGCGCATTAGTGCCTTGCGCTGAACAGAGTTTCACCAAAATCGCAAAGACCCAATTCGAGAAATTCAGCGGTTTCCAAATTTAGGTCATAATTTATGCGAAAATGATAAACAAACTTTACACGGATTATATCTAATAAACTATGGGATTCATCTCTGTATTTTGGGCATCGTTATAACAGATGGGTCCTTGCAAATCAACAAAACAATTTAGGGCCTTGTAAATGCGCGCGATTTCGAGCAAAGCAAACTTATAGAAATTATAGTTTTCGCTATTTGTTGACGTTTGTCAGCGTTTAAGAGTCCTTCTCACGAAAAAAGCATTTTCTTAAAAATTCGTGGTTTTTTTTCCTTCAAATTTTTTCAGGGCCACAATTGATTAACTAACTACCCGGTCTCTGAATTTCATGGTCATTGAAAAACTGTGACATTACCTTCTATAAGCCCAAACTTGAGTAAACATTGAAGATTTTTAGCGTTTTGGCTGAGTTTGTGCTTTGGGAGTTGTCTATTGTTTCTAGTCTGTCATGATACAACATTCTTGTTCAGCACGCGTGCAATGACCACGCTTGGCTGACTTCCGAGTTGGTTTAATTATTGGCTTGCATCAAACCTATGAAAAAATGATATTTTTTTAATAGTAAGTAGATTTAGTGTGTAGCACTTCTTGATTTTTTTGCAAAGGCACAAGAAGCACGAGAATTGATTAAAAATTGTGAGTTAAACCTCTATGTATCACGCGATGGCCTGTCTCACTGTACCAAAATTATCATATCTGGGTGAGCATTCGGAAGTCAGCCAAGCGCGGTCATTGCACGCGTGCTGAACAAGAATGCTGTATCATGACAGAAACAATAGACAACTCCCAAAGCACAAACTCAGCCAAACATAACATTGATCTATATGTTATCCGTTCTATGTGTTAGACTTACGATAAAAGTAAAGGTGGGGATACCAGAGAGCTTCAAAGTAGGATGGTACCCCCCCAAAAAACTGGGTTGAGTCACCTTAAGCGGGATAAAATTAGACAACATGTAAGGGTTTCTTCCACCAGGGGCAAAGCAAACTGTCCGTTATAATGAGGTGTCCGTGTTAATTGGGTGTCCCGAAAGCGGGGTTTGACTATAATACTTTTGATTTTTTGCTGGTGGCGAAGAGAACCGCAAAAATGTGCCACACGGTACGATGTGGGATCCTAACCTTTTAAAACGCAATTTCAAACAATTCGATGCTTTGTCTGCTATGTCCCCCATTAACTGTCACCATTTCGAGTCCTTTAAAGTTTCGAGTTTCAAGTTTATTTATTACATATAACAAACTGTTTACAATCAATCCGACTGACCTGCGGGTAGCTAAACCAATCGAGGTAGGTCAGTCTTACTGTCCTTTTTAAATATTTAAATAAGGCTGTGGTCTGGTCAAATGATTCTTTCTTGGGTTACTACTCCCCCTATCTCTCTCCAACCGCAGAAAATTTAACTCTGTGCTTTAGCCTGAAGTAAATCAATTTTCTTGCCTTTCCACTTCTGCTTAAACAGGGTTTGTCTCAGACCCGGGATACGGAAAAAGCCCACTCCGACTCTGACTACATTTTTTCAGTGTGATGTTTACCCCTTTCGATTTATTGTATTTTTATTTTTACATTTCCTAGTAGTAGCACTTTAGTTATTAGTTGGGAGCTTGCGAATATGTCTGTTATAGATATTGCAAGATGATATATGTAAATGTAAATGTAGTGATTAGGTTTAGGAAATTGAGTGAAACAGGTTCCATTTAGGGTCATTATACTAGACAAACTCACACTCAGTTTTCTAACCCTAATCAGAAAACTTGGGCCCGGTTCCTCGAAAGATGGTTAAGTTTAACCCAGGATTAAGCCAAATCTTACTAGGGAGGAGAGATGTGACGTCACGTTACCATGGTAGCACTATTTCTGGATGACAAAAAACCAACGACGACGGCGACGGCAAGGACAACGGCAAAAAATATAATGTTTATGTTGACAAACAACAAGTTTGCACGTGCATCAGGCTATTTTGTACTTTTGTTTACCGTCATTGCACCACTACGGCATGAAACTTCCTAATTTCAAGAGCCCGCTTTATAGAGTAGGTGAACACAACACAAAAATTGTCGCTTTCTTTTTCTAAACTTAGATAACAATCGATATGGTCCCAAAGAAAATTTCGACAAGATTTGCCAAATTAAAGGGAACTTAATAAGAAAGGTGAAGTTTGAAATAGTGCAAATAGACTTTTAAGTGACTTTATCAGTTTGTTGTCATCCAAAAATTTTGCTACCATGGCAACGTGACCTAAAGACTCTAAGAACATGCTAATCTCGTACCCAGATCTCACTCTGTTTTACACTGTGGCCGTGGGAGATCTGGGTACGAGATTAATAACATGCAACTCAAGCTTACAAAATACTGTTGAGCCTTTACTCTGAGATAATAATAATAATAATAATAACACCAAAACTTACTCTAAGCAATACATAGGAAGGAAAAATAAAAAAACCGAACAAAATTTTAATCTTTTATCAGCACTAATCGGCCTTTCAGAAACCAGGCCCTCAGAATCATTCGGCGTTCGGTATGTTTTTTTTTTCCCGCGGATTCCGGATTTTAGGTAAACCCCTAAATTATATATATTATTTCTATGACTTTTCATCTAATGGCATAGTACAAAGGCAAATTTAATTTGATTACATCTGCTAAAACATTGCCAGAAATTAGGGACAAGATGGCGCTTGCGCGTGCGCGTGCGCACTAAGGCCATAATGGCTGCGAATTCGTACAAGAAAATGTATGGAGATAAGGAAACTTGTTCAAATATATCGATTATGAGCTTACGGGTCTTCGGTGCACGACTCGAAACATGTTAAGTGCTGTGTAACCTTCGCATCTGGGTTAAAAATGGCTAATTAGAAGTAGGTTTACTTACTTCCCGAAGTGGCCACTTTTATCTCTCGTTGTACGCTCCATTTCTCCATACATTGTCTTAAAATCTTGCCGAAGTCATGCGAAATACTCGTCGATTAGAGGATAAACCCTTCAATGAAGTAAATTTGCACGACTCGATATCACTTCTGCTATGTAAGATGTTTCCTAAACAGTCGTAAAAAGGACGATTTTGGCACTGCAAAATACTTCCAAATGCGCATTATTTCCCTCAGTTTTCCATCTGTAGTCCATTAATGCATAGTTATTAGAGGAGACTGGTTATGAAAAGCGGCAAACATCAATGATAAAAACAACAGTGCTGCAGTTTATGTTCAAAGCACCGT